TTCAGCATGTTTTGGGGAAAATTGGACATCGAGTTCTCATTCCAAAAGATGAGACGGACAATCCAGACTTTCATCGGCGACATGTTCAAGAGCACACATCTGTCATGGTATGGGGGTGCATCAGTGCAAACGGCATGGGGGGACTACCATTGATGTGGAGGCGTGTATTGGGATTGTACAGAGACATAAAACTGCCATCAAGATGACATCTTTCCTGGGAATCCATGGTTATTAGAGCAAGACAATGCCAGGCCTCATTCTGCATGTAACAGCAGAGGGGTCTAAATCTGTCTCCTATTGAGAATGTATGGCCCATCACGAAAAGGAGAATCAGACAACTGGCCACGGACTGTTGAGCAGCTGTCTTGTGTGAGGCAAGACTGGGCAAAAAATCCTCTTGCAAAACTTCAATTCCCAAACAATTAAAATGTGTAATTAACAGGTGATGTGTGACAGTGGTGAACATGCCTCTGTCCCAACATTTTTGGAGTGTGTTTATTTGTTTATATGTACAAAATACAATTAAGTTAGTGAATGAAAACATTGGAAATCTTTTCTTTGTACTTTTTTGTCAAAGAGAATTAACAAATCACAGATTCTTGATTATATTGCATTTTACAAAATGTCTAAACTTTTTTCTGGAAATGGGGTTGCAAAGAGTGTTAGTTAGAATGTACTTGTGTTTTGATATTGGATTCCTTCCAACTTTACACTGTAAAAAATTGTTGGTGTAACCTGGTTGCCTTAAAATTTTAAGTTCATTGAAATGGAAAATTTGAGCTAATACAATAAAGGAGATTGATTTAATCATCAGAAACTCAAAATATGATGTTATCTGAACTACATAAATTATCTAAGTTCATCTGACAATAGAAAAAAATCTTGTGATTACAAATCATGAAAAGATTTGTGATCATTTCTCAGAATTAGTCATGTGTTCTTTTCCTAAAACAGTGTTTTTTATGATGAGATATGAAATTTTAAAATGATTCGCTGTCTTTGTTCTAAAGGTGTCCAAACCACACTTCATATTTTTATTTTTTTTTCATCTTTGACATCTGACCGATCATGTTGACCTATAGCCGTTACACCAACTATATAATGGTAATGGATAAATCTGTTTAAACTTTTCTTATTCTTATTACACCGAAACATAAGCTTAGGGACATAAGTTCCCTGCACTTATTTTGCTCTTCACTTCACCTACTTCTCTTTTTATTCTTACTTCTTTTGAGTCCTTCTTTCTTTATACAGACAGAGCATCTTCACAATCTTCACACATTGGACTAAACTATTGAATAAGATAGATCTTGTTTTTGTTTAAACCTTTACTTAATCGATTTGATGCCTTTATGATTTTACATTTTGACTTAATCAATTTGTTATTCCTTATTCAAATTAGATTTTTGACATAACCATTGCTTGCCTGCCTGGATCTCACTGCATCAAATATACTTAATTGTACCAATTTAGCATGTTAAATTGACAGCTTTACTTATTACGCAATAAATTACATTTAACTAACGCCGGGTCTGTTTTATCGATGTGTGCGGTTCTTTTCTTCCATTTCAGGGTATTGTAATATCGACAGGTGATTGATAACGAGTCAGAGCATTAGTCATTTTATCAATTTAACCCCTGATACCGAATGCAACAGGTTATGCTAACAATGCCACTAATGATCATAACTGCATGGCTCGGGAACAAACACGCCATTAATAACAATTATTTTATGGGCGGCAACTCTCTGTTGGAGTGCGTCATAATACTTCATGAAAATAATCAAATGCCACTCACACTGATGAGTAAATAAAGCAGCGTCATTAGAAAAGTTATCTAATGCATGTTAAAATCAATGAGGGCAATTTCTTATGTTATGACATTTAATTTAAAGTGTTTTGTCAGCAGACATATTGTATTATTAAGACTTTATGGAGCCGCATTATGCTTTTTTGCACTTATGGCATGCATGCATTTTTGCATGTTTAAAGGATCAAATTTGTATTATTTTCAGAGCCACATTCTCTCATTTCATGCTAATAGTGTCTTTGTTGTTTCCAGATTGATCCTCTCCAAATGTTCCATACAAATATAAAAATAAATTGTGATTCGTCACATGACATGTCAGACATGCCCCCTCCCCAACAAGAAGCAATAATCATACCCAAATCTCAAAAACACACATTTCTTTCACACTCAAAGACGTCTTCCTTCTCTAGTGGTGCACTACAAACAGAGCTTTAAGTGACATGCAACACCTGCCTTCATTAATTATCCCAAAACAAATCAAATTGCTCATTAGTGTGCTGAGTCTTAAAGGGATACACCGTTTTTTCATATTAAAACCTGTGTACATGTTATTCCCTTAACTAAGATGAGTTGATGAATACCTCTCTCGTCTCTCTGACGCGCGAGACACTTTGATAGCACTTAACTAGCCCAGTTCATTCAACATGGGCCAAGCAGAGAAGCGGCCAAACACCTCCACGTTTTCCCTATTTAAATACAGTTACTAGAGTAGTGTGACTCGACCAAGAATGGTGACACAAAATAAAAGTGGATAATTTAATACCATTTATGATCTATAGAGTCCACTTGAATGTATCTCAGACCTTCTTAAGTGGACTGCAGCCGGTTTCTTGGTGCTGCAGTTTGCAAATAGCCAAAAAGATTTCTTGATATCAGCCATAAAAATATTCAGGGAATTTCAGCTCTGCTTGATCCACTCATGACATGCTCAGCGGTGCTCAAGCGTCATGATATTATCAGTGTTCAAGTCTCAAGTGTTCTCAATCGAGTCAACTAATGCTTTGACACAACTTTGATTCTGCATGACAGCCGTGTTCTTCCAATCTACTATGACTTCCAAATATTTAAAGGCTAAATCTTTAGATGTCCTATTAAAAGGCTTAAAAGTAGACAATTCCCACTTCTCCTAGTGAGCCTGTAATCTAGATGTACCAGCAAAGGCAAATTCTTTGTTGCCACTGTCACCTTTGGCTTGCTTAGTTGGAGACACTTAGTGTTCAGTATTATTGGACAGAATTTAATCAACATTGAACTGAATTGATTTGAATAAGGACACCGTCTTCTGTCTTCTGGGCTGCTTATACCTGAATTGAACCTGTTTATTACTGTAGAGCTTTTAATTTCTGAGAAAGGGATCTCAAAAAGTCTCAAACGGCACTCAAATTGGCCAGGATACCAAAGTATGCAATCAAAAGTCAGGGATCTCAATATAAACTAAAAAATGATTTTTTGGTGAAGTAAATACTAGTGAAAAAACCCAATGTAATTTACTTGAAAAAGTTAGTTCAGGCAAGAATTTAAAGGGTTAGTTCACCCAAAAATGAAAATTCTGTCAGTATTTACTCACCCTCATGTTGTTCCAACCCCGTAAGACCTTCGTTCATCTTCGGAACACAAATTAAGATATTTAAGATATTAAGATCGCTCCTGCATACAGTCCATAGGCTTCTTGAGGGAATGACTCTTGCTGTCCTCGAAAAGTCATTAAAGACATCGTTAAAATAGTCCAAGTGACTACAGGGGCTCAATCTTAAGTTTATCAAACGACGAGAATACTTTTGTGCGCAAAAAAACAACAAAAATAACGACTTTATTTCAACTATTCGTTTATTTCTCCCTCTGCGCGAGTCAGGTTACTAGTTTAATAGCGTAAGCTTCTGTTATTGTACGTCACACGCATCACACACACATGACCAGCGTCGGCCAATAGTGAGCCTACGTGTGACGTAGCTCTACGCAATCACACTACGTTAACTGACTTACAGGCTCATGGAGAAGGAAGTGAATAGTTGAAATAAAGTCGTTATTTTTGTTGTTTTTTTGCGCACAAAAGTGTTCTCGTCGTTTGATAAACTTAAGATTGAGCCCCTGTAGTCACTTGGACTATTTTAACGATGTCTTTAATGACTTTTCGGGGACAGCAAGAGCCAGTCCCTCAAGAAGCCTATGGACTGTATGCAGGAGCGATCTTAATATCTTAAATATCTTAATTTGTGTTCCGAAGATGAACGAAGGTCTTACGGGGTTGGAACAACATGAGGGTGAGTAAATACTGACACAATTTTCATTTTTGGGTGAACTAACCCTTTAAAAAACTAAGTAAATTCCTTATCAGTACTTAATTCAAGCGAGTAGAAATGAAAGTGTAAATATCAACTCAATAAAATTAAGTAAAAATTACTCAACTTTTCTGATACTGGGGTTCCCATCATGCACTGGACCTTGAATAATCAATGAGGCTCATTTTTCACTGGTTTCCAGCTGTATTTACACTGTTTGATCATTGATTTTTGTTGTCAGTATTAGTAAATTGCCATTTTGTGACATTTCGAGTAAATTTTTTGCTCAAAATGACACATTCAAACACAAAAACGACCCATCAAATGTTACCGCCATTGTGTATTGTCTAAGTATTGAGTTGTTTGCATTCACATGAGGCTTAATGTCTGACATGATGTATATATAAATTACTTAGTTGACCTCAGTAAAGCACATACTATAAATGATGACTAATAATTCAATATTATTGTTTTTTAGTGAAATGTAATACAAAGGCAAAGGAAATCAATATTAATCAATTAATGTAAAAACAAGCCGAGTTAAAATTACTTATTTTTTGTAAACATTTACTTAATTCCATATTCCAAGTCAATTTAACTTAAAGATTTCTAATTAAAGCTACTGATAAACATGTTTAGGTTTTTACTTGGCAAATCTTTGTAAATTTACTAGCATTTTCTGAGTGAGATAGTTTAGCAAGGTTTTTTCAAGTAAATCCTACTCCAAATTTTTTTACAGTGAATGACAAATGCACCTGCTATCCTAATTCATTTTGGGAGAAACTTCTGAGACTTAAGTTGATAATCGAGAAACATTTGCTGTTCCAAAAACGGTCTGTCCTGTCAGTGGACATGATTGCATGACCTGTAAAGCAACGGTGGGTTGACCACAATAAAAGGAGAGAGATGAACCTGACAGCAGTTTTTTCTGTTGCTTCTGGGACGTCTGTAGCGGGAAGCTCATCCGCCAGGATCTCTTCTATTCTGCGTGGATCGTCTGGAATGTCCCTCTCAACTTTTCCCTTTTCCTTCTTCCCTGTCCCAGCGGTGAGTGTGCTCCATAGTGCACTCTGAGACTTTGAGCCTGGAAACAAGATGAATCGGAGTAAAAAATTTCATAAACATTGAAACAGCTCCCATTTCCTGTTTTCTAAAAGCAACACATTATGTCTTTGCCTGCCACAATATGACAAATATATGATCTGCCGTGCTTCACTGATATTGACAGTCGAACACACTCAGATCGATTGCTCCTGTCTGCCTTGCTGCTGAGTGGTTTGTGTCTGTATGATCTAATTACTTTCATTCCTTGTTGTTTATATTTGCTAAATATAACTTAGTCATCAACATATATTAGATATTGTCTAATATTGCCCATCACATTAATCTGACATTGCTAGCTTTTATCTATATAAATAAATATTTTATATAATTATATAAATAATTCGATTTTTTTTTAAGATTTAAAAAAATCTAAACACTGAAATGAAAATGAAACCTTTACTATGTCTTTAGATTTATTTATTTATTTATTTTTGTAGTATTCTGATTCAAAATAACAGCAAACGCAACAGAAGACCAAAACACGAAAATTGAAAATGTTTTTATTTTAAAGCCTCCTCTGATTTTAATGGCCTTGTTGTTGATTCATGGTATATCATATTGATTTTATATAAATAATTATTTTTTAAAAAGATTTAAAAAATATAAACACTGAAATGAAACCTTTACTATGTCTTTAGATTTATTTGTTTATTTATTTATTTTGTAGTATTCTGATTCAAAATAACAGCAATGGCAACAGAAGACCAAAACACGAAAATTGAAAATGTTTTTATTTTAAAGCCTCCTCTAGAGATTTTAATGGCCTTGTTGTTGATTCATGGTATATCATATTGATTTCATACAAATAATTAAATTTTTTTAAAGATTTAAAAAAAAAATCTAAACACTGAAATGAAAATGAAACCTTTGTCTTTAGATTTATTTGTTTATTTATTTATTTATTTATTTTGTAGTATTCTGATTTAAAATAACACCAATGGCAACAGAAGACCAAAACACAAAAATTGAAAATGTTTTTATTTTAAAGCCTCCTCTGGAGATTTTAATGGCCTTGTTGTTGATTCATTTCATGGTATATCATATTGATTTGCTCTCACCAATGCTGTGCACATCGTTACCATCATGAGATCATGTGTTCATAATGTCTATTCAGATGCAATCTGTGTGCCACCTCTGAAAAGCTCTGTTTGGATCAAGCATAAAGCCCATTAAACTCATCTATTGATGGATGCTGCCACCTAGTGACATGCCCATGCAAAGTGTTATTACTTTTACTTGCACTTGAGTAAAAATTAGCAAGGGGTATCTGTACTTTTAATCGGGTAATAATGCTGTGTACTCTGTCCACTTCTGTTCACCAGTGTTAGTGATATTTCATTTACAATTTATGTGTATGTGATTTATGTATAATTTATGTGTCAACATTTTTGTGAAATAAATTTGCTTGGTTTTTAAAAGCAAATTTATGAGAGAAACAGTATATATATATATATATATATATATATATATATATTATCGTTGTCTTCTTTTTTTAGGAATTTGGTCAAAATTGGGTCGCCCCTTAATGACCATGGGAAAATGTGGGTCCCATGGTCCACAGTCTAGAGAGATCCCAAGACCATGACTCCATCTGTGGTAACAAAATGTCCTCGCTTTTAGACTAATAACCCTACATGAATTGATCATGACTTTTTTTTTAGTCATTTGTACAAGTTTTTCGTAAAGACGTGCGGTGAGTGGTAGCGTTTCCGCAGAATTTCTAGAGCCACATTGTAGGATAAAAGCATCTGCTTATATGAAAAAATATATTCGCAAATTAGTTCCTTGTACTTCATTTCAGCCCATTTCTTTTGAATATGAAACAAGACGTAGAATTTGTACAAAAAAAAATGGTTGCTTTCTTAAAACACAGACTTACGTGCAAATCTCGCCAGTGGCCGGCTGTTGGTCTCACCATCCTCATTAGCCACTATAGAGAAAAACAGAAACACATGAATAAAGTGTGTGTGCATCTCTAAAAACATTAAAAACTTATTCCAAAAGCTTTTTCAGAGGCTAAGTAAAGTACATCATTAAAAAGCTTCTTTTTTTGCTCCTATTTTAATGCGTCTTTTTGCATAATGTGAATATAATGAACCGAGCAGCTGGAAAAGCTGCTTTAATGCGACTGCAGCCGCTGTCATATGAGCCTTTCATTATATTTTCAAATGGGTCTTGGTCAGTTGGGGACTGGAAAGGTGGCGTTGGTGTACTGTGAGTCACTTGCAATAAAAACAAATTGCACAAGAACAAAAAAGATAGAGAAAATCAGCACATTCCCCCAAAAATTATTTTGTCCTGCTTGAAGCACAATCAGAGAAGCACATTTCTATTGATTATTTTTTCATTTATTTTAACAAAAGAAATATCCCCACGGCACAGCACCATGATAGTAGTTTGTTGTGGTGTTTGCATTTGTTATAGGGTGTTCAAGGAGGTTAAACAGAGTCCAGAGAAAAAGTCGAAAAAGTCTTTCTCTCATATTTTGAACTCTAGATGTTACTCACTTTTCAGGTGTTTAATCACCCACAAGGCAAAAAATCGAATTCAATTATTCAAGATTGTTTATGGTACATTACATTTACATTTACATCATACTGTACACTGTAAAAATGAATATGCTTTATCTAATCAATAAAATTGTGGCAACAGATTACAAGCAATATTATTTATTAAATTGAACAAATTAGAATTGAGTAATAGTTAATCAAATTAACATTCTAATTAATTCTAATTTGTACAATTTAATTAATAATATTGCTTGTAATATGTTTCCACAATTTTATTGATTAGATAAAGTATGTTATTTTTTTCAATGTACATGGGCTGAACTCTGCATAGGGATGCAGCAATATGAAAATTTGGCCAATACCGATACTTTATATTTGAAAGCTGATAACCGATACACGCCTTATTCACGGCAGCGCCATCTTTGATTTTTAATGAGAATGAAAGCGAGGCTGTGAGGGATAAACATGCATCTCTTCAATGGGCTGTACTACTGTTATATAATGTGTTTTCAGATTGTTCTTCTCATGAACCACTGGAAAAATATCTTTCCAAGAAATTTCAGTTGACAAAAAAACTCCCGACAATGTAAGCTGTGGAAAATTGTAAGTAATCTAGGAGCTTTGTTCAGCTTTTTACAGCGGATCTATTGGAAACACGGTAAGTCTATCCCTCACAGCCTCACTTTCATCATACCTGTCATGGCGCTGCTCTGAATAAGGTCTATTGGCCGATAAATCTGAATCCAAATTTCTTTACCATTTTTGACAGCCTGATTCCCAAAATAAAAGTCTCACCATGTAAATCTATTACCCAAGCACACGATTATAATGTTTTGTAAAGTGAGTTGTAAAATGAGCCTATTTCCAAAAAAAGTGGAGTATCCCTTTAACAAGAACTGGAGTAGGCTATGTCAGAAAAGAAAAGGACCCACTTACGCTTGTTTTTATTATTCAATTTGAGTAAAAGTATATGGTGTTTTATATACGTATATATATATATATATATATATATATACAGTACTGTGCAGAAGTCTTAGGCACACTAGTATTTTCGCCTCAAAGAAATAGTTTTAAGCCAGTTATTTATATATTTTGTTGTGTCTCAGTAAATAACAGTTTACATTTCCAGACATTAATTGTGCCATTAATTGTAATAATCCAGTGAAATTTTTGGATTCTGACAAAGCCAACGCTCCACACGGAGGTCGGATCTCACCATCATCGAGTGCATCTGAAATTATATGAAAAAACAGAAAAAAACAGAGACTAAGCCCAGAAGAACTGCGGCAATGTTTCCAAAGATGCTTGAAAAAACCTGCAAAACTAAAAACTATGTGCAATACCTGGACAAAAGCTGTTTTAAACGTAAAGGGTACTAAACACCTATTGATTTGATTTAGTTAACTGTTAATAATAGTTAACTAATAAAAGTGAATTGATAAATAAAATCTATTTGTGATTATGACATTATTTTTGAAAACATTCTCATTTACAGCATTTTTACACAAGTGCTTTTTCACAGTACTGTAGCTTTGCAGGCAGGCAGGCAGTACCTTCGAGACGTTGCCGCAGTTCTTCTGGGCTTAGTCTCTGTTTTTTCTGTTTCTTCATATAATTTCAGATGCACTCGATGATGGTGAGATCCGACCTCCGTGTGGAGCGTTGGCTTTGTCAGAATCCAAAAATTTCACTGGATTATTACAATTAATGGCACAATTAATGTCTGGAAATGTAAACTGTTTCCTACTGAGACACTACAACAAAATATATAAATAACTGGCTTAAAACCATTTCTTTGAGGCGAAAATACTAGTTAGATACCTAAGACTTCTGCACAGTACTGTATATATATATATATATATATATATATATATATATATATATATATTTGTGTTATTGAAAAGAAAAATGTGGTTAAAAAATAAAATCGGTATTGGCAGGTCAATCTCAATGAAAATCGGAGTCAGCCTAGAAAACAGTAATCGGTGCATCTCTACTTGTTTTCGCATTGCATTGACGCCGGTTGCAGTCTCTTTTTTCTGTAGCCACATTTTACAGCGGGTGAATCTCCAGTTGACTAAAACTAACTAAAAGTATTAATAATTACTATTATAATATATAGATTATACTAAAATAACACAAACTTGTCTTACTTAAAGTATAAGCAACCAGTAATGCATGCATTTGCATTATTTTATTACACAGTTCAGTGCAAACCTAGTCAGGTCACAGGTAAGTTCAAAGTTCAAGAGATTCTACATGTGTTTTTAAGAGTTGCTTATGTGCATTCATGTAAATTGCATTGCCTACAGTCAGGAAAACAGCAGCCTGGCTGATGCACCGGTCAATAAGATTGGATTTTGAGTATGCATTACTCGAGCTGAGAAAAATCAGCACATGCATTAGTACAACACCATTTACACCACAACATCGTACAACTCCCATTAAGTGTCATGACATTCTGCATCGAGACCTAAATAGACCAAAAACACACACACACACGCTATGTTTCCCCAGGAGGCAAACCATTAAAAGCCCACAGAGTGACTGAGGGAGGAGAGGAAGTGGTCGTGTTGCTTTAGCCAATCATCATTAACGGTTCGTCATCACGCTCCACTGGACCTGATTGACAACATGTCACAAAAATGAGCTTAAAACACACTGAGCAATTGATTTCAGGGCTGTGTAACCATGACGACAAGCAAATGTTTGAAAATGCGATGAAATGTGGATATTTCCTGCGTTCTTGTGTGATGCTCGACTCGTTGGCTAGTTTATCTCCAGTATTAAAAGTGCGCTACTTAAATAAACAGTTTTGCAAGTAAGGAGCTTTTTTTAAATGTCCTGTTTAAATGCATCAAGACAGAGACAAAAAAAAAACATCTCACACCTGTGTTTCCATCATAACACCACCCTGTAACCGCTGACCTCCCATGTGGGTGTGTGTTTCTCCGAATCAAAGGCTGATAAACAGGACGGTGAGTCCGAGTATGGAAAAATGTACAGTCAGACATTTTTCATCTCAAAATAGACCTGACAAGATGATCAGGACCAAGACTTGAACCCCATGGACATAATATTAATTTAGGCTAATATTAATTTAGGCTAATATATATTATATATAAATTAGGGTTGTGCAAAAATTAATTGCGATTAATCGCATCCAAAATAAAAGTCTGTGTTTACATAATATATTTGTGTGTGCTGTATATAATTATTTTGTATATAGAAATACCTATGCATGCATGTATATATTTAAGAATTATTTGCGCTTAAATTCTGTATATATTTATAAATACATAATCTATATTATATAAATATAAATATTTTATATATGAATAACACTTTTTCTAAAATATATACATGCATGTGTGTGTATTTATATATATATACAAAATAATTATATACAGCACACACAAATATATTATGTAAACACAGACTTTTATTTTGGATGCGATTAATCGCAATTATCTTTTGCACAGCCCTAATATAAATATTTCGGCTAATATATATAACATTAATATTTTTATAGTGCCTGGTTACAAATCGGATATCACTTTATTATGCAAGTCGTTTGAACTACGGTAGGCCTTTAATGACCATTAATATCTTTGAACCTATCTATTTCATATATATCCAAAGCTATAGATTGTGAAATTAAGCATTTCTCGTTCTTAAATGTTCTTTAGTTAGACAGTATAACAGCTATCCAAAATTATTAGAAATAAAATTTTCACCATCTTCGATATTCTTCGATAAAAAACTTTTTTACAACCATAATTGTGTTTAAGAATTAATTATGATATGGTATATTTATAATTTAAAAAAATATATATTAACCCTTATTACTTACAAGACATACCTAAAAATGCTACTTCTTTCACTTTAACTATATAAATTATCAAGATAAAAATAAAAGATTATTACATGAATTAAATTATATTAAAGTTTTAGAATTTTTTGAATTAAAGTTTGATTGATTACAGGCATACTACTGGGGTCCTAAGCTGGGATCATCTCTTAGATGTGACTTTTTCCAATAACTGATAAACCTTTATAGACGGACCTGTTGTGAGCAGCGAGATTGTTAACATGCTTTTGTTGAAGCCATCTATTAAATCATGACGCTGTACAGAAAATTCCACCAATCAGAGAGTTGCAGCGAGCAAAGAGCGAATCTGATCTTTAGCTCTACCCATTCCCATAAAGCACTGCAAATTATGTAATCGAGTCGTCTCCCCGTGCTCTTAAAACATTTAAATATTTGTATGAATGCATATTTTGCAATAAAATATTGAGTTTCATTAGATACAATTAACAACTTTCAATTTTATATTTCTCCATTCTTTTTTTGATTGTCATTCACAAAGCTTCATAGGATTCTCCTAGAATGGGAAAAATAATTAAAGCGTTATAAGTC